AAATACTTGTCATATGCTCAATGCAAGAACTAATTAACATCATCGTCGTCATCATCAAAGTCTTTTTCTAACTATGCAAGAATTAATAATTGACAAGATCTAAAATTTCATTTCAAAAGTACCCGTTTTAGTTTTTTTTTAGTGGAAGAATTCAATTTCCAATGTTTTTTAGGGACTGAAATGTAATGCCAAATATAAACACAATAGGTAAAATACCCAATATCATCTTTCTGTTTTTTGATAACCAACACGGTCTTCATTAAAAAATAAGGAAAAATAATAATAGCCACAGTCGACAAGCCGTGCCAAAGGATGAATGGAAGAGATGACGAAAACATCCACATTCTTTTATTGAGACACTTCCAAAGCCTCACAATAAATCTAAAATACCCTTGGGACTACAATTTACAGTTTTATCCCTTATCATAGGGTCAACTTGCTTATACTAATTTTCTTAGCAAACGACCCTGGTCTATACTTTATTTTGTCAATAGGACAGATGAGCCGGTTCATACTTCATACGAGGAAGGTTTCTGATTATAAAAAGGCTTTTCAGGTCCTAATGAGAGTATACTATTCATCTACTCCCTCGGGCAAAACTTAGGCTAGGAATATCTTATAGATCTTAAATTTTGAAGACATGATCTTTATATCCTTGCCAACTAACCTTAATGAAAAAAAGTTAAACCTCTCACCCTTGCCTATAAAAAAATGGCATCCCAAGATTGCACTAGAACCCTCTAAAATGTTCAAAATGTTCAAAAACTCAAAATCCAATTTCTTTATCTAAAAATAATCATCAAACTAAATTTAGATGCATCTCAAAATTTCAAATAAAAAAAATTCTCCCAAATAAGTGTTTTTCAAGAGGAATAAATACATAATATGATCCCAAGGAAGCATAGGTCGAGTCAACTCCCCTGTTTCGTTTACAGCTCTCATGGGAAGAAGTTGGGTTGTACATTTTAGAAGATTTCATGCTCCCCAAGAAGCATTCTGTCCATTTACTCCCCTAGGTAAAATCAAATATAGGGTTATCTTTGCGCCCCGATATTTGGAGATATAACCTCTTCAACCTTACTGCAACCTCAAAATGAAAACTTTCCATATTGCAATATATGAGCTTGAAAAACATATTTTCTCACGATTGAATGGAGAGTGTTTAGGTTTTAGAGGGGTGAGATTTGAACTCAAATCGAAATTATTTTTCTTAAATAATCATTGATTCTTGGGTGGATTCCATAATTTCATATTAATAAAATCCTTCCAAGTACCACTTTCGCCCATAGAGTAAGTGTAAAGCACTCGCATTACTTAACTCACTGTCGCTATCTTTCTCATCATGGGTGGACTGTAGAGATAGCACTTGCGCCCAAAATCCCCCACACCATCCAATCATTTTAATAAGAGGTACACCACCAAGGGATCAAACTATACATTTACTCCCTTGGGAGGAGGATTTTCTAGATTTGTAATTTCAAGATCTGCTTTAACAAAATCGTCATATGAGTTTTTTTTCGAAAGGAAAAGTTTTGATTTGTGTAATAACTCCTTTATTTTGAAATTTGATTACAGAGTGCTGGAGGTTTTTCCCAAAATTTGAGGTCCTAAGTGAATACAGGGTTGCATATAACCTTGTCACTTTCAAACCAACATACAAAAGATGGTTCTAGTTTTTTACCTGGTACCACCCTATCTCCAATCCACGAAGATACGAAGGTGTACTATGATCCTAAGTTACATGAGAAAGTTATATTTGAAATTATTGTTTGATTAGGAACGGCCGATCCAGATTGGATGACGGTGAGAATTGTTATAATTCCCAGTTAAAACAGGAAATTAGCGGGTTCCAAAATTTTTATTTTGTTTCCAATTTTTTTGATTTTTTTTATTGACAACCCGGTAGGGTTGAACCGGAACCAACCGGGCTACTCAGAACGGGCCACTGGCTGTGGTTGGTTAGGGTGGTCAACAGGCTTGACCACCCTAACTTAAAAGCATATTCAAAAAATATAAAAAAATATAAAATAAGAAATTTGTTTGTAATAGGCTTTCTATTGTTTCGGAAAAGATTGGGAATTTGGATTTATTTTGTTAAATTATATTTTAAGTATACTTTTCATATTTTTTAAAATTTTTTAAGCTTTTCTTAGATTTGTTTTAACTTGCGGTTTACCGCAGACTGGTTCCGAAATACTCAGAACCGGCCCATGGCCGGGTTCTATGGCCTGTTTGTGCGATCGCCACACTCGTTTGGGTGAGTTGTCTTTTGAAGTGGTGACAAGAGTTGAAGGGTCAATGGAGCATCTCGAATCGAGTCGGGTAAGTTGAGTGAAGTATGAGATTCGGAAGCGCCAATGACGCCAGCGTTGGGACCCAAACTCGGTCCATTACTCAACTATTATCTATATTTATGCATGGTGATGACCTTTCAGGACTATGATATGTGGATTGTCCTTATCATTACTATATATTTTCCTACAGGACATTTGAAATATTTAACTTCTTTCATTATGTCATGTAAATTGGAATTAACAACTTGGATAGAGAGAGCACCATTCAGAAAAATGAGGCAAGAAAAGAGAGAGGCACCAAGTAGCCCTTCATGTCAGTGGAATTTAAAATTAATAGAAATATATATTATTATAAATTTTTTGAAAGGTAATTTGTTTCATGCAGCAAGGACCGCATTTCTACATGTGCAGTCCCCATATTAAAGATAGATGCAAATAGGTGGTCTATTCAAAAATAATTGAAACTAAAGGTCTAAATATTTTCTTAATAGAATTATTATTTTAAAATTTATTTATTTATTTTATATTCATGATCTCCATATTAGAGATTACATGTTCTTAAAAATGGTTCAAAAATCCATCTCAAAAATAAAAATTTCAAAAGTGACTCATTTCTACATGGACTCATAGCAGCCGGGTTTTTTTTGAAATATTTGTATGAAGTGTAGTCCCAAACATCCAAATACCCCATAGGTAATTCCACAAAATTTTAGTATTGTGGAAGTATTCTTACAAAATTTTGATTATAACAAGGGCATATCTGATATCAATATTGATACTTTAAAATATTATAAGGATTGATGTGCTTTGCTTCAATTTGGATGTCAAATCCTCAATTTTGGCCATATTTTCTTTTTTTAGGAGATGAATTTCTTAAAATAAATAGAATTCAAGACATCATGTCGTGGCAGTGACCATCACCCAGACCGGCCAGCAACTAATATTGTTGTTAGAAAGAGAGAAGAGAGTTGGGATGATTACCAGTGAGAGCTTAGGAAGATGATCAACTGCAGGAGCAGAGCCGCCGCAGACCTGTTCCACCTCAGCCTTAGCCCTCTCTTGCCAACCAGGGTTGGAGGCAAGAAGCATGATAGTCCAGGTCAGGAGCAGTGCTGTGGTCTCGTGACCAGTGAAAAAGAATGTCTTGCACTCGTCCATCAAATGCTGAGTAGTAAAACAGAAGCCATCATCGCTTTCCCCCTTCTTGTATTTCTTCTCAGTCTCAGCCAAAAGCAAGCCAAGAAGGTCATTTCCATAAGATGCACTTCTCCCAATTTCCATACAGTCACGCCGGCTCTCAATAATTTCAAGCAATAGCTTCTCCACCTCACCTTTCAAACTCTTTATCTCTCTGTTAAATTTACTCGGAAAGAAACTGTTCACAAAAGAAAGGGAGATTTATCAGAATACCATAACAATGAGAGAATAATGAGTAATTTAAAATTCTCTATATTATTTGATTTAATTTTAAATTACCCGTTACGAGACACATGATATTATTTGGTTTAATTTTTAAATACCCATCGCATCGTGACTTGGAATACTTTCAAATGTTGAATTTCTTGCGGCTATTCCGATAGGAAAAGTTTATATAAGATGTCAACATGATATTATTAAAGCAAGTGCACCTAACCTAAATAGTAAGGTGTACTTAAAAAATCCTCTAGAAGAAAGTGTTTGTGTTTGGAGGTTGATCTAATTGATCATCTCGACCTTAGTATAATTTTATGTCCTTAGTATATCTTGTATCGCATGACATGGTATTTTTTTTTTTTTTTTTTTTGGAGGTTTTCAAGTGTTTATATATCCGCTCAATTTTATGTAATTTTTAAAATTTTATGGCTAAAATTTCTGACTTTGAAACTACATCTCCGATCAAAATTCGGATACGTGCCTTATTCTATAGCACAAGGAGGCAACCATACATCGACATTACTCTTCTTCATAACAAAAATATTCCATTTTCATTGAAGCACTAAAATAACCCTAAACTCTATATCTCCTAGGTGTCAACGAGTTTATTTATGGATTTTTCTAAATTATGATTTTTGGCACGTTGTTCATTGTGAAAAAAAAGGACAATTGTTTAAAAATCCACCACTAAAATGGACATTAACTTGATGTTACTTGTAACGTACTTGATATTTTTCTTGAGTTTTTTTGGTTTTTATTTGGAGAAATTAACGCACGTGGCTAGCAGATAGGCCTTCCAAGTTTGTTATGATTTTTTTTTTTTTCTTTTGGGGGTTGGGGGGAGTGGGGTGGGCAAAACCTACTGCCTTCTCAGAAAATGATGCCGCAGACGTAATGCATTTGTCAAGTGTACGTTGGATTCGAAGCAGGGCAATTTGGTCACATAAAAAGCATTTCACAAATAAGCACATATATTATGCTCCTCTGCATGTTCTCCCTAACTCATAGCACCTATTTATAGAATTGTTTTAGTCTAAGATTTTGGAAAACACGTAATAATTGGTAGATAATTATTTTATAAGAAATTTTAATTTTAATTTTTTTGACACTTAGATATAGCCCTACAAAAATTGTATTGTTCAATCTTGAGTCATAAAATTTTTCTAGTACGTAAGATTTTATTTTGAATTTTTTTTTGCCGAGCTTATTCTAAGAGTGATTTACTTACGGAACTTAAATATTTTTCTAAATACAAAATGCGCCATTTATTTGTGGAAGTTATAAAGAAGCTCAATCAACCTTTTTTTTTTCAAAAAAAAAAAACATCACCCCTTCGTCCGAGGACATCCTTAGACCGAATTTTAATTTTAATTTTAATTTTTTTGTTGTTGTAGGGCATTGTCTTAAAACTTGTGGCATTACCCTACTATCAAAAAAAATATTTTTAAAAAAAGGAAAGAAAAAAAAAATCAGATCGAGGATTCATCTTGAGATCGATGGGTAATTTTGAAATAAATAAAAAAAAGTGGGTCGATTGAACTTGTAATTTTTTTGCCTATAAATGGAGTATTTTGTATTTTAGAAAAAAGCTTAAGGTTCGTATGTAAATCACTCGTTGTAAAGGTTACTTCTCCAAATTTATGATCCAAAGCATCCAAGTATTTTGCTTGAGGGAGGAAATGAATAGTATCCCGAGCTGTAGAGGTAGAAAATCTTGTAGCTCTACAAATTTAGAAAGAAGGTTAGACTGCTTTATTCAAACATTAACCTAAGAAAATTAAAAGTAGATTTTTTGAAAAGGGATTCACAACAAAGAGAACTTTTATGTTTTGTATTCACAATCATTTTTTTACGTTTTGTACTCGCAATCAGTTTTTTATGTTTTGTACTTACAATCATTTTTGTTTCTTAAATTTCAAAATAGGCGATTGTAAGAGTGTTATTGAATAAATGTAAAATTTTTAAAAAATATATATACTCTCAAGCTTTATAACTCATCCCAAACATATATCTATTGAGTATGAATGTTTGTGAGATCTATGTACAAAAAAAAAACCTTTTCGAACTACCGTTTTCTTTTTTAAAATTGAGACAAAATTGAAGGGGGGTGAATCTTGCGGCCTTAAGGTGAAGGGTTCCATGACTTGATAGAGTCTATGACCGTACTCGTACGTGAAAATGACAGATTTGCCTTTCAAAACAGGGTCTAAAACCTCTTGTTCCCATTTTAGGAAGTTTCTCTTATTTTACCCATCCTGATAAAATTTCTCACTTCCCATTTTTGGAAAGTTTCTTTCAATTTTGCCCATCCGTTTTGGAAAGTTTCTCTCAATTTTACCCATCCTTCTAATCTCGTCCAGAACAAATTTCTCATCATTTGTAACCTAAAATGGAAATCAGCTCCACTCCCATAACGGAATCAAGACTAAAAATGGGGCGAAAAATTAAGGAAAGAAACCCATATTTCATAAAGAATAGAGGGATATTCATTCAATTTTAATTACATATAAAGAAGGGATTCCAAGGAAAAATAAAAAAAGAAAACCCATTAAAGAGTGCCGAATATTAACAGGAAAAGAAAAATGGGCAAAAAGAAAAGCAAGAATAAAAAAAAGAAAGAGTTTTTATGGTGTGCCTATTGGAGGTGTGTAGCATATACCTCGTGTCTCCAATCGACAACTTAGAGAGAGAAAGAGAGAGGAGAGGAGAGAAGAGAAGAGAAGAGGAGAGGGAGGCGCACCGGCTACCGGGAAACCACAAATGGCGACTGGCCTTGGAAGAGAGAAGCTGAAGTGAGGTGAGAAGCTCAAAAATCTGCTTCCCCTTCTCATAGCAACTATCAAATTCGGTTCTTGAAATTATATCAGCCGTTAATCTGCAGAGGTAGCCGCAGATCTCGACATCTTCTTCCCCTGCTTTCGCCGCACCATGCAAAGCCTGTATCGTCCTGTTCGTGCATTCAATCATGTATCCCACATGACGCTGCCCCAAAAACAAAAAACAAAAAAAAAACATTTTTAGAGAGAGAGAGAAAGAGGATACCATACATAAGTTTTCCTCAATTTGAGAGAGGCAGAAAGATAATGGAGCTGGGTCGCTGCGGCAGTACCTCCAGCCCCCAGTTACGGCCGCCATTCTCACTTATACTTTCGAAAAGATTGATCTATTTCAAAAATGGGTAGGGCCTGTAACCCACTGATACTTGAAAAAAAAAAAAGCGAGACAGAGAGGGAGGGGTTATGAAAGATGTTCGAGAGAGAGAGAGAGAAGTTATTTGCATTACTTTGAGTTTATCAGCTTAGAGAGAGAGAGAGAGAGAGAGAGAGAGAGAGAGTAGTTATTGACTATTTAGTTAGTTAGTTTACGTAGT